CCTCCAAGACGAGCTCATCAGGCAGGGTCTAGTCAGGAGGCAGAAACCACAGAGTGATTTGAACAGAGAGAATTGAATGTAAAGAATTATACCAAATGCAGGGAAGTTACCACCCTAAAGCTGAGAGAACAAAGCGAAAAGAATGCAATTATTCCAACTGAGAAACTTGCAGGAGGGTCCCACAGAACTGAAGCTCAGACCTCTGAGAAGTGGTACACTCAGCCGGTGCTACCATGAGACTGGCTTTGCAAGTGCTGGATGAACTGCAAACTGGATCCTTCACTGTTACCTGGGGTGAAGAGCAGTTGCTAGGTTACACTATCAGGAACAGGAAGCAGACAGGAAGGAGTGTGTCCCTTGTTCCTCCTCCAGCCTTGCAGTCTGCCTTTCCCACCCCTATTGGCAGAGCCTCACAGGGGGCAACTGACAAAGCTGAAATGGGGTCTGCAAAGTCCCAGCCTCAGCATCACTGTGCTGACTAGGGAAGGGTGGATTTAGAGTTGAGACCTGACAGCTTAATAAGTGGCATGTGTGCTCAGGTAGAGGAGTATGAACATAGACAAAGATGGCTGCTTCCCAGGCTGGGGTGGGGTGGGGCAGTTCTGCTTCCTGACTTTGGGGTAGAAGAGGAAGTAGAAGACAGAGGGGACTGTAGGTGTTTATAAACCTGCTATGCCACAGTTTACACCCCTCCCCCCAGTGGAACCCAAAGAACGTATTGTGTGCTATATACAAAACAGCAGCTCCTCCCTTGGAGAGTGGGGTGGGGATGGAAGCCAGGCAGAGATGGGAGGGGACCTAGCTTGCCTCTTTCCCCGCGTCAGGGAGGAGTAGAAGTGGCAGTAGATGTCAGGTGTCCAGCTAGTGCCAGTCACTTAGTAGGCATTCAAGAAATGGTACTGGCCAGGCGCAGTGGCTCACGCCTGTAATCTCAGCACTTTGGGAAGCTGAGGTGGGTGGATCATGAGGTCAGGAGTTCAAGACCAGCCTGGCCAACATGGTGAAACCCCATCTCTACAAAAAAATACAAAAATTAGCTGGGCGTCGTGGCGGGCGCCTGTAGTCCCAGCTACTGAGGAGGCTGAGGCAGAGAATTGCTTGAATCCGGGAGGCGGAGGTTGCAGTGAGCCGAGATTGTGGCTCTGCACTGTAGCCTGGGCTACAGACAAGACTCTGTCTCAAAAAAAAAAAAAAAATAGTGGCCATTATTATTCAAAGGAAGGAAAGGTGCACATAGGTTAGGGAATGAAGTAACTGACTAGAGTGGAGAGAGCCAGAGGACCTGAGTTCATACTAGGTAAGTGACTTGGAGCAAGAGACTTGCCTTTCTGAACTCAAAATTTCCTTATGTGTAACATGGAGATGATGATGCTTGTGGGGACCAAATGTCTTGTAATAGACCCTTAACATATGATATCTTGTTCTATTAATTAGAGAAATAATAATAAGCTCAGTTATTTCTTTCTTTTTTTTTTTTTTTTAATCGAAATGGAGTCTTGCTCTGTCTCCCAGGCTGGAGTGCAGTGGCGGCAATCTTGGCTCACTGCAACCTCTGTCTCCTAGGTTCAAGTGATCCTCCCACCTCAGCCTCCCAAGTAGCTGGGATTACAAGCATGCACCACCATGCCCGGCTAATTTTTGTATTTTTAGTAAACATGGGGTTTCACCATGTTAGCCAGGCTGGTCTCGAACTCCTGACCTCAAGTGATCTGCCCGCCTCGGCCTCCCAAGGTGTTGGGATTACAGGCGTGAGCCACCACGCCCGGCCAAACTTGTTTATTTGTTATTGATATTGCTGATACCAAATAGAAGAGATTTCACTGATCATTTATTCCACAACATCACTGTGCAGATGAAGAAGCAGAGGCACAGAAAGGATCAATAGCTCTATGGAGGTTAAGAGCTTGGGCTATGGAGTCAGTCAGACCAGGGTTCGAATCCTCACTGTCCATTTCCACTTACCAGCTAAGTGAGCTTTAGTGAGTTCCTCAGTCTCTGTCAGCCTCACAGTGTCGTGAGGACTGCAGGACTAATCAATGCCTGGCCCTTTGTAAGTGCTCAGGAAGTGGCACTGGAAAGGCACCTTTGTGCTTGTAAGTATGAGAACCCCTGAGGCCAGAGGGTGATTCATCATGATAGCGACTGTCCCACAGAACAGCCCTTTTAGGTGACCCTAGACCCTCCATCATGGTATTGTGAGAATACTTGAGATTTCAGCCATGCCACTACCAATTATTTGCTTTGCAAGGTTGAACTTGTGTGTAGGGAAAATCTTTCTCCCCTAACCGTTTTTTTTTTCTCCACTCTCACACCGCAACAATCATCAACACAGAAGACTTTTGTGACCAAATGTGTGGGGACTTTTCTCCACACAACAAGCAGCAGATACCAGCTGGGTGTCGTCTGATTCAGATTCTGACATTACCTACCCAGATATAGTGTCAGATCCCACAGGTTGAGGGCTCAGTCCCCAAAACTGCCTACCCACCCCATCCCAACACCAATTGCAAGTCCAGGCCTCCAGAACTTCTGAGCGACCAGCTTCAAGTTGGGAGTTCCCATGACCCCCCTTTGGGTGCCATTATTTTACTAAAGCAGCTCACAAAACTCTGAGAAACACTGCCTTACATTTACTGGTTTATTATAAAGGATATCACAAAGGAAACAGATAAAGAGATGCATAGGGCGAGGCGGGGGGAAGGGGCAGGCCACCCTCCCAGAACCTCCACGTGTTCAGCTATCGGAAGCTCACGGAACCTGGTTCTCTTGGGTTTTTATGAAAGCTTCAAGACAACAGCATTTCTTTCCCTAGGGCATAGGGTCTTAAGCCCATAATCAGAAAGTCAGGGGAAAATTAGAGCTTTGGGGCAGGTGAAAGGAGGACAGGAGAAGGTCAGAGGCTGCCCCTGAGGCCTAACATACCCGACATCATAACAAAAGACTGTATCAGGGCCATGGATGAAAACCTCCCTCTCTCTCTATATATATATGTATGTATATATGTATATACACGTGTGTGTGTCTGTGTGTGTGTGTGTGTGTATCTTAGTTTATTTTCATGCTGCTGATAAAGACATAACCCAGACTGGGTAATTTATAAAGAAAAAGAGGTTTAATGGACTCACAGTTCCACATGGCTGGGGAGGCCTCACAATCATGGCAGAAGACGAAGGAAGAGCAAACAGACATCTTACACGGTGGCAGGCAAGAGTGCGTGTGCAGGGGAACTCCCCTTTATCAAACCATCAGATCTCGTGAGACTTACTATCACGAGAACAGCACGGGAAAAACCCACCCCCATGATTCAATTACCTCCCACTGGGTCCCTCCTGCAACACGTGGGAATTATGGGTCTACAATTCAAGATGAGATTTGGGTGGGGACACAGCCAAATCCTATGTATATTATAACACCACAACATGTCACTCTATTTCTTCTTCCTGTGGTTTTTCCCTATAAAGCTCATGATACGTGACATTGGGTCTATTTCCTGGGGTTTTCTGGGACCTGAATGATGGAAAGAGTCCCTGGAACCCAAGAGACTTGGGGAAGCTGTTAACCTGTCAGATGACCAGGTCCCGGGATATTCTGTGTACTGCAGCAGTACTAAACCAGAGGATGCTGGACTGGGGACTGGATCCCTGCTTTCAGAACTCAAATCGTTCCTGTTATAGTCAACTCTTATTTTTTATGCACCAACTGGGAAAAATGATAGCATGAATAAAAGGAGCCAGCTGGTGTTGATTGCTCTTCACTCTAAAACTCGAGGAGGCATAAGAGACTGTATTTTAAATCTCATCTCTTACCTGATTTCTTTCTTCAATATGATGAAACTACAAAATGGCTCAAAGGCTACCTTCCCCAGAAGAGAGACAGTCTGCCTGGATAGTCCACAAACAAGACAATACTTCCAGTTGCCATTTACTTAGCATGTGCTTTTTACTAGGCATTGGGCTAAACTTTTCCCCTTGTAACATCTCATTTCATCCTCATAGAAACTCTATGGGGGGAGTGGGGTGTGTTTTTTTATCCACCTGCATTTTATCAATCGAATCTCAGGTGCAGAAGGTGGTGTGAATCATACTTCTCCATCAGCTCATTGAACATTATCATCATTGGTCTGTGCAAGACCCCTTATTATGTTAATTAGTTTATTCCCTTCTATTCGTGTATCCCACGCACATTCACCCCCATAAATAACCGGTCCATCATGTGTTGTGTGCATCTTTCCCTTTGTATATGTTCTTATGAAATGTGGTTTTGTGTGTATCTATATAGTTTTATTGATTAAAGTAGTATTTCTTTCTGTCTCTAACTTTTTAATAACCATTCTAAATGGAAGTACTATGTTTTTAAGACCTACTGAATAGGTTATTGTGGGTTTGTTTAATCTATTGCTTCCAGTTGTGTTGTGCTACTCCATGGTGTGCACCCACCACAGGTACAGATTCTCTTTCCTAGTGATAGGCAGCCAGGCCTATTTGTATCAAACTTCCTGTTGCCACAAAGAAGCAATTGCATCCCCATATATCTCCTTGATGGACTATGTGAGAATTGCTTTGGGGTACGTAGTGAAGAATGGAATTGCTACTTCATAGGGTATACACAGATTCATAGATTTACTATGCTTATGCCATGTCAAAGGTAGGCACTGTTATTATTCCTATTTTACAGATGAGGAAACTGAGGTTTTGAGAGTTTTAATAACTTACCCAAAGTCACATAGATGGTAATTAGAGAGCTAGGATATAAGTTCAGGCAGTCTTACTCCAAAACTTCTGTTCCTAATGGCTGTGCCATCATTATTCTCTGAGCGTTTGAGACATGAGGACATTTTATAAAAAACATAAAAGTCAATCTCATTGTTTGGTGTTTTAATAGTCTTAGAACCTAGGAATCCAGGTGGACTGCTTCCCCCCCCACCCCCCGAAGCACCTACTTCTCCCAACAGGTGCATAGTAACTGTTTTTCTCTGACTTTCATATTCTGTGGGTCTGCAGCGCTGAAAGCTGCGTTGATCATCCAGAACTGGTACCGAGGTTACAAAGCTCGACTGAAGGCCAGACAACACTATGCCCTCACCATCTTCCAGTCCATCGAATATGCTGATGAACAAGGCCAAATGCAGGTCTGTTTTGTAAGCTTTTCTCTTCTTTTGGTAAAATGATTCTCTTTACCCCTTGTTATTGAAAGAATGAAAGTTTGGGTCCATTTTAAGCTGAGGGACCTTGGTGAAAGGCTTTAATAGAGCACGTCATGACATTGTCTTGGAACTAGTTATTGAGAGAGCGTGTGCTTTGGGAAAAGGATGGTGTTTTTCAGTTTTGAAGTTCACATTTTTAAGAGGGCTGCCCAATGTCTGGTTAACTAATAAAAATAGTCTTATTCTATTTTGGGGCAGATGCCTTAATAGGAAATAAAGTTGTCATTTTATAAAAGAAAAAATTACTTCAAGGAGTTAAAAAATGGCAGAATTTCCTAGGAGCAAACCTCTGCAAGCTCTAGAAGAAAATATACATGGGTGAGGAAGGCCTTTTTTTTTTTCTTCGAGACGGAATTTCACTCTTGTCGCCCAGGCTGGGATGCAATGGCGCGGTCTTGGCTCGCTGCAACCTCCGCCTCCCGGGTTCAAGTGATTCTCCTGCCTCAGCCTCCTGAGTAGCTAGGATTATGGGCACCCACCACCACACGTGGCTAATTTTTAAATTTTTAGTAGAGACGGGGTTTCACCGTGTTGGCCAGGCTGATCTCGAACTCCTGACCTCAGGTGATCCATCTGCCTTGGCCTCCCAAAGTCCTGGAATTACAGGTGTGAGCCACTGCATCTGGCCAAGGAAGGCCTTTTGAAAAAAATACATAAATCTAGTTTTAATGCTCATTAATTTTAAAAAAGTACTTTTAACAATAAAAAGATCTTAGAAAGATCTCCAATGTAGTTGCTAATGAAAAAGTCAACTTGTAAAACAATATGTAGAGTTTATCTCATTTATGTGAAAGAACATGAAACATACAGCAAAAGTCTGGAAAAAGATACACAGGAAATTGTTTACAGTAGTTAGTTCTGAGGACAGGAGTGGTATTGGTGGGTGTGGCTTGGGATGTTAAGAGGGACTTCTCATTTTTATTTGATATTATGTGTAGTTATTAGCAATCATACATCTGTGTATCACATTATAATCTTTAAAGATAAGAACATTCCAAAAAGAACTAAGTTGCTAGATTTATTTTTGGCAGCTAGAAAAATGATATACTGTGATTCATTCAGACACTCCCTTTGTCTAGATTAGGACCCTCAGCATAGGCTGTCTTTTTAAGCACTGTAGAATATAGTGATAAATATAAAGGTAGAGTGAACCCCAAATTGGTATGCTTTAGACACATTCCAGCACCAGTACATTCTTTTCTATTGATTCTTTATTGAGATGTAATTCACATACCATACAATTCACCCATTTAAAGTGTGCAATTCAATGGTTTTTAGTATATGTACAGGTTTTTAGTATTCAATGGTTTTTAGTATATGTACATCCCCACAATCAATTTTAGGACATTTTCCTTTCCCCCTTCCTAAACTCCATACTCATTAGCAGTCATTCCCCCGTTTCCTTCCCTCAGTCCCTGGCAACCACTAATCTATTTTCTATCTCTATGTATTTGCCTATTCTGGCCATTTCATATAAATGGAATCATATACTATGTGGTCTTTGGTGTCTGGCTTCTTCTTTTTTTTTTTTTTTTTTGAGACAGAATCTCGCTCTGTCGCCAGAGTGCAGTGGTGCGATTTCGGCTCACTGCAACCTCTGCCTCCCAGGTTCAACCGATTCTCCTGCCTCAGCCTCCCGAGTAGCTGGGACTACAGGCACGTGCCACCACACCCAGCTAATTTTTGCATTTTCGGTCTCCCAGAGTGCTAGGATTACAGGCGTGAGCCACTGCGCCTGACACAGCTTCTTTTACTTAGCATAATGCTTTCAAAGTTCACCCATGTTGTAGCATGTATCAGGACTTCATTCCTTTTTAGTTAATATTACTCATTCTGAAGAATATTCCATTGCATAGATGGACCACATTTGGTCATCTATTCCTCAGGTGATGGATCATTTGGGTTGGTTCCACCTTTTGGCTATTATGAATAATGCTGCTGTGAATATTTGTATGCAAGTTTTTGTGTGAACATATGTTTTCAGTTCTCTTGGGTATAGACCTGTGAGTGGAATTGCTGTGTCATGTAGTAACTTGGCGCTTAACTTTTTGAGGAGCTGCTAAACTGTGTTCCAAAGCAGCTCCATCGTTTTACCTTCCCACAAGCAGTGGTTGAGGGCTCCAGTTTCTTCACATCTTTGCAAACACTTGTTATTATCTCTTTTTGATTATAGCTATCGTAGTGGGTGTGAAGTGATGTCTCATTGTGGTTTCTATTGACTGTTAATTGACAAACCCATCATCAACAGCATTAAAATCATACATTTTGATAACTGTATGGAAAGTCTTCCTTCTTTTAATTCCCAACTCCCAGATCTACTCCCAGATTGATAAAGTGTTTACTTTTCATGAGAGGCAGGGCTTGAGAAAGAAATTATTTGTGCTGTACAAACGCAGGTCTTTGCAGATACCTGGTGGCCATAGAGCCAGTACCCCGATTACGGCTGGAATGCTGGTGAAGTTCCACCTTTCCCTCCCTTTCTTTCCAAAATATATTTGATATTTAAGAATATTCCTTAACTCTTAATCTCACCACCAAAAAGAAAAGAGATCATGACCGGGCGCAGTGGCTCACACCTGTAATCCTAGCACTCTGGGAGGCCGAGGCAGGTGGATCACCTGAGGTCGGGAGTTCGAGACAGCCTGGCCAACATGGTGAAACCCTGTCTCTACTAAAAATATAAAAACATTAGCTGGACATGGTGGCGGGCACCTGTAATCCCAGCTACTTGGGAGACTGAGGCAGGAGAATCACTTGATCCGGGGAGGCGGAGGTTGCAGTGAGCCGAAATCATGCCATTGCACTCCAGCCTGGGCGACAAGAGCGAAACTCCATCTTAAAGAAAAGAAAAGAAGAGATCATAATGAACACAATTTAGTAGCTGTCTTGGGTTGGATTTCCTAGAAGCAGAGGCTGAGACAGGGATTCTGGTACAAGTGACTTACTGAGGGTGTGTTTTCAGGGAAAGCCTGTAAGGGAGTGAGGAATGCAAGACAGGACAGGGGAGAAGCTAGGCCAAGATGCACTTTTTGAAGCCTGACCTCAGCCTGATCCCATCTGGAGCTGTCAAGTGTGAAATGCACTACAATTTGTCCCTGGCAGAGGCAAGGGAGGTGGGGGACTGGGCCGTTACACCCTTGCTTCAGCCAGTGCTTGTCTCTGGGCAGCCCCACAGGAGGGGCGTCCATGTGTTATCCTGTGTTGCTCTGGACGCAGGCAGTCCTCTGGAGGCAAGCACAGATGTGACCCTTAGCACCTGCAGCAGCTGGGATAGGAATGCGCCACGAGAGTAAGGGCACTCGGGTGGAGCACCAGCAGCATTTGCCACAGTAGTTGTTTGGGGTTCACTAATTGATTAATGTTTTTTTAATTTTGTCCAGTTATCCACCTTCTTTTCCTTCATGTTCGAAAACTACGCACATGTACATAAGGAAGAGCTAGGTAAGTAAAAAGTTCAGTCTTTTCAAAAGCGTCATTAAATATTGAACTGTCTTCATCAAGATCATAAATTCTGAAGATGGGAGAACACTAAGAAATTAAAAAGATGCCTACCTCTTTTGTTTATGTTTCACCCAACAACTGGCAACATCAGTTCAAGTGGCCTTTTTCCCTCTCTGGATGGTGTCAACTAAATCGGCCATTTAATTTTTTTCGCTTTTCCAAAAACTGAGTTAGAATTCATTCAATATTCATTTGTTGAATGCCTTCTCTGAACTACAATCTATCGGTGCACAACCGTAGCTTAGTAAAGGGAACCTTATTTTATTATTATTATTATTATTATTATTATACTTTAAGTTCTAGGGTACATGTGCACAACGTACAGGTTTGTTACACATGAATACATGTGCCATGTTGGTGTGCTGCACCCATTAACTTGTCATTTATATTAGGTATTCCTCCTAATGCTATCCCTCCCCCCGCCCCAAACCCTATGACAGGCCCCAGTGTGTGATGTTCCCCACCCTGTGTCCAAGTGTTCTCATTGTTCAATTCCCACCTATGAGTGAGAACATGCGGTATTTGGTTTACTGTCCTTGCAATAGTTTGCTCAGAATGATGGTTTCTAGCTTCATCCATGTCCCTACAAAGGACATGAACTCATCCTTTTTTATGGCTGCATAGTATTCCATTGTGTATATGTGCCACATTTTCTTAATCCAGTCTATCATTGATGGGCATTTGTGTTGGTTCCAAGTCTTTGCTATCGTGAATAGTGCTGCAGTAAACATACATGTGCGTGTGTCTTTATAGCAGCATGATTTATAATCCTTTGGGTATGTACCCAGTAATGGGATGGCTGGGCCAAATAGTATTTCTAGTTCTAGATCCTTGAGGAATCGCCACACTGTTTTCCACAATGTTTGAACTAGTTTACAGTCCCATCAATAGTGTAAAAGTGTTCCTATTTCTCCACATCCTCTCCAGCACCTGTTGTTTCCTGACTTTTTAATGATTGCCATTCTAACTGGTGTGAGATGGTATCTCATTGTGGTTTTGATTTGCATTTCTCTGATGGCGAGTGATGATGAGCACTTTTTCATGTGTCTGTTGGCTGCATAAATGTCTTCTTTTGAGAAATGTCTGTTCATATCCTTTTCCCACTTTTTGATGGGTTGTTTGATTTTTTTCTTGTAAATTTGTTTAAGTTCTTTGTAGATTCTGGATATTAGCTGTTTGTCAGATAGGTAGATTGCAAAAATTTTCTCCCATTCTGTAGGTTGCCTGTTCACTCTGATGGTATTTTCTTTTGCTGTGCAGAAGCTCTTTAGTTTAATTAGATCCCATTTGTCAATTTTGGCTTTTGTTGTCATTGCTTTTGCTGTTTTAGTCATGAAGTCCTTGCCCATGCCTATGTCCTGAATGATATTGCCTAGGTTTTCTTCCAAGGTTTTTATGGTTTTAGGTCTAACATTTAAGTCTTTAATCCACCCGGAATTAATTTTTGTATAAGGTGTAAGGAAGGGATCCAGTTTCAGCTTTCTATGTATGGCTAGCCAGTTTTCCCAGCACCATTTATTAAATAGGGAATCCTTTCCCCATTTCTTGTTTTTGTCAGGTTTGTCAAAGATCAGATGGCTGTAGATGTGTGGTATTTTTTCTGAGGACTCTGTTCTGTTCCATTGGTCTATATCTCTGTTTTGGTACCAGTACCATGCAGTTTTGGTTACTGAAGCCTTGCAGTATAGTTTGAAGTCAGGTAGCGTGATGCCTCCAGCTTTGTTCTTTTGGCTTAGGATTGTCTTGGCAATGTGGGCTCTTTTTTGGTTCCATATGAACTTTAAAGTAGTTTTTTCCAATTCTGTGAAGAAAGTCATTGGTAGCTTGATGGGGATGGCATTGAATCTATAAATTACCTTGGGCAGTATGGCCATTTTCATGATATTGATTCTTCCTATCCATGAGCATAGAATGTTCTTCCATTTGTTTGTGTCCTCTTTTATTTCACTGAGCAGTGGTTTGTAGTTCTTCTTGAAGAGGTCCTTCACATCCCTTGTAAGTTGGATTCCTAGGTATTTTATTCTCTTTGAAGCAATTGTGAATGGGAATTCACTCATGATTTGGCTCTCTGTCTGTTATTGGTGTATAAGAATGCTTTTGGGCCGGGCGCGGTGGCTCAAGCCTGTAATCCCAGCACTTTGGGAGGCCGAGACGGGCGGATCACGAGGTCAGGAGATCGAGACCATCCTGGCTAACATGGTGAAACCCCGTCTCTACTAAAAAAAATACAAAAAACTAGCCGGGCGAGGTGGCAGGCGCCTGTAGTCCCAGCTACTCGGGAGGCTGAGGCAGGAGAATGGCGTGAACCCAGGAGGCGGAGCTTGCAGTGAGCTGAGATCCGGCCACTGCACTCCAGCCTGGACGACAGAGCAAGACTCCGTCTCAAAAAAAAAAAAAAAAAAAAAAGAATGCTTTTGATTTTTGCACATTGATTTTTGTATCCTGAGACTTAGCTGAAGTTGCTTATCAACTTAAGGAGATTTTGGGCTGAGACGATGGGGTTTTCTAAATAAATGATCATGTCATCTGCAAACAGGGACAATTTGACTTCCTCTTTTCCTAATTGAATACCCTTTATTTCCTTCTCCTGTCTGATTTTCCTGGTCAGAACTTCCAACACTATGTTGAATAGGAGTGGTGAGAGAGGGCATCCCTGTCTTGTGCCAGTTTTCAAAGGGAATGCTTCCAGTTTTTGCCCATTCAGTATGATATGGGCTGTGGGTTTGTCATTAAATAACTCTCATTATTTTGAGATAGGTCCCATCAATACCTAGTTTATTGAGAGTTTTTAGCATGAAGAACTTTTGAATTTTGTCAAAGGCCTTTTCTGGATCTATTGAGATAATCATGTGGTTTTTGTCTTTGGTTCTGTGTGTATGCTGGATTACATTTATTGATTTGCGTATGTTGAACCAGCCTTGCATCCCACGGGTGAAGCCAGCTTGATCATGGTGGATAAGCTTTTTGATGTACTGCTGGATTCGGTTTGCCAGTATTTTATTGAGGATTTTTGCATCGATGTTCATCAGGGATATTGGTCTAAAATTCTCTTTTTTGTTGTTGTGTTTCTGCCAGGCTTTGGTATCAGGATGATGCTGGCCTCATAAAATGAGTTAAGGAGGATTCCCTCTTTTTCTGTTGCTTGGAATAGTTTCAGAAGGAATGGTACCAGCTCCTCTTTGTACCTCTGGTAGAATTCAGCTGTGAATCCATCTGGTCCTGGACTTTTTTTGGTTGGTAGGCTATTAATTATTGCCTCAATTTCAGAGCCTGTTATTGGTCTATTCAGGGATTCAACTTCTTCCTGGTTTAGTCTTGGGAGGGTGATGTGTCCAAGAATTTATCCATTTCTTCTAGATTTTCTAGTTTATTTGCATAGAGGTGTTTATAGTATTCTCTGATGATAGTTTGTATTTCTGTGGGATCAGTGATGATATCCCTTTCATCATTTTTTATTGCATCTATTTGATTCTTCTCTCTTTTCTTCTTTATTAGTCTTGCTAGTGGTCTGTCAATTTTGTTGATCTTTTCAAAACACCAGCTCCTGGATTCATTGATTTTTTGAAGGGTTTTTTGTGTCTCTATCTCCTTCAGTTCTGCCCTGATCTTAGTTATTTCTTGCCTTCTGCCAGCTTTTGAATATATTTGCTCTTGCTTCTCTAGTTCTTTTAATTGTGATGTTAGGGTGTCAATTTTAGATCTTTCCAGCTTTCTCTTGTGGGCATTTAGTGCTATAAATTTCCCTCTACACACTGCTTTAAATGTGTCCCAGAGATTCTGGTATGTTCTGTCTTTGTTGTCACTGGTTTCAAAGAACGTCTTTATTTCTGCCTTCATTTCGTTATGTACCCAGTAGTCATTCAGGAGCAGGTTGTTCAGTTTCCATGTAGTTGAGCAGTTTTGAGCGAGTTTCTTAATCCTGAGTTCTAGTTTGATTGCACTGTGGTCTGAGAGACAGTTTGTTATAATTTCTGTTCTTTTACATTTGCTGAGGAGTGCTTTACTTCCAACTATATGGTCAATTTTGGAATAAGTGTGATGTGGTGCTGAGAAGAATGTATATGCTATTGATTGGGGTGGAGAGTTCTGTAGATGTCTATTAGGTCTGCTTGGTGCAGAGCTGAGTTCAATTCCTGCATATCCTTGTTAACTTTCTGTCTCGTTGATCTGTCTAATGTTGTAAATGTGGGGTGTTAAAGTCTCCCATTATTATTTTGTGGGAGTCTAAGTCTCTTTGTAGGTCTCTAAGGACTTGCTTTATGAATCTGGGTGCTCCTGTATTGGGTGCATATATATTTAGGATAGTTAGCTTTTCTTGTTGAATTGATCCCTTTACCATTATGTAATGTCCTTCTTTGTCACTTTTGATCTTTGTTGGTTTAAAGTCTGTTTTATCAGAGACTAGGATTGCAACCCCTGCTTTTTTTGTTTGTTTGTTTTCCATTTGCTTGGTAGATCTTCCTCCATCCCTTTATTTTGAGCCTATGTGTGTCTCTGCATGTGAGATGGGTCTCCTGAATATAGCAAACTGATGGGTCTTGACTCTTTATCCAGTTTGCCAGTCTGTGTCTTTTAATTGGAGCATTTAGCCCATTTACATTTAAGGTTAATATTGTTATATGTGAATTTGATCCTGTCATTATGATATTAGCTGGTTATTTTGCTCGTTAGTTGATGCATTGATCCTGGCATTGATGATCTTTACAAGTTGGCATGTTTTTGCAATGGCTGGTACCGGTTGTTCCTTTCCATATTTAGTGCTTCCTTCAGGAGCTCTTGTAAGGCAGGCCTGGTGGTGACAAAATCTCTCAGCATTTGCTTGTCTGTAAAGGATTTTATTTCTCCTTCACTTATGATGCTTAGTTTGGCTGGATATGAAATTCTGGGTTGAAAACTCTTTTCTTTAAGGATGTTGAATATTGGCCCCCACTCTCTTCTGG